CACTGACTGACATGGACTCTTGTAGCCATATCTGCACACAAGCAGGCCCTGAGAAACACAGTCTTCATGTGGGGAACCACGTGCCAAGCTAAAAACTGTGGGTTCTATTCCACGTAAGAAGAGATGAGCGGGCCCAGCTGTGGTAGCGCGCGCTGGTTGGTGCTGCTGTCAGTAGATGAGGTCATGTGGAAGGCCTGGGTTCTATACCTGGTCTACCCTGAACACTGGGCACAGTGCTGTGTACCTGTGGTCCCAGCTGCTCAGGAGGGTGGGGCAGGAGAATTGCAAGCTCATGACCAGCTTGGTTAGCAACAGCAAGACCCTGTCTAAAGAGCTGAATGTGGTGGATATGCGTGTATTCCTAGCTGCTTGGAGGGCTGAGACAGAAGGATCAGGACATAATGAGGTCCTGTCCAAAAAAAAGGAATAGTGAATATTGAGGGTCAATTCGCAGCTCCTGATTTACCAGTATTTCTTTAAAAAGCCTTCTAGGGGCCAGCAGGTCGTAGTGGGTAAGGCTCTGGACTCCCACATGGCCTACCACAGTTTGAGTTCCAGACCCAGAGGCTTAAAACTCACGTTGGGTGCCTGTGTGTGCGTGCCCAAAATCCTGAGAGGAGAATGGAAGAGAAGGGATTGCAGCGTGGCCATTTCCACTGGGGGAGGTGATTTCTCACTCTCTCTCCCTCTTTCTTTCCAGTGAGCATATGTACCCTAGAGCAAAAATCTCTCTTAAAAAAAAAAGGCCTTCTATAAAAGTAGTCTCTTAAGATGCTCCCTAAAAATAGATTTATTGGCCAGATCATTTGGGGAAACATCAAACACTGTGTTAATCCCCTAGACATTAAAAATGCAGAGTGGGGTATTAAAGGCTCTGAGAAGTTCTGTAGTTAAGGAAGTTTTTTTTGTGCCACAGGGTACATGTCCTCACCTAAGAGAGAGATAGGGAAGGAGAGAGGACGTGGGAGAAAGCACGTCCTTGGAGCATAGTCATACCCACGATCCTCCATTTCTTCCTTTGTGGGCATGCACGCGCATACCCAACATGATTTTCAAACCACTAGGTCCAGGACTTGAACTGCGTATTTAGCCACGTGGGATCCAGCTGCCTTAACCACCAGGCCATAGGCCAGCCCAGAAATGTATCTTATTTTTTGTTTAATCTAAAACAGTTTGGCCAAAAAGCCCTTTCACTTTTTATTTTATTTATTTATTTATTTATTTATTTATTTATTTATTTATTTTGAGAGGTTTTCCCTATAGGGCGTGTGTGCTTGCCAGATAGACCCTGAGACAGAGAGAGAGGCAGAGAGACAGAAAGCGAGAAATCACCCCCCAGAGGGGATGACCACGCCGCAATCCCTTCTTCTCCATTCTCCTCTCGGGATCTTGGGCACGCACGCACACGCACCCGGCATGAGTTTTAAGCCACTGGGTCCGGGACGCGAACTGCAGTCGACTACGTGGGAGTCCAGCGACATAGCCATTACACTAACTGCTGGTCCCTCACTTTTTATTTCTTTTTCACTGAAGTCCTATGAACATAAGCATTGGGAAACACAGCTTTGGGGAGCATCGACAGTCCTTGATTTGCAGAGAAGCAAACATTCTTTTTTAAGCAGTTCTGTTCCTAGGGATGCAGTCAACACAAGTATGTGCACATTGTGTTAACCAGGTTCAGGCAGGGTTTATTCCAAGAAAGGGAACACCTGTGTACGGGGATTTGATCTTACACCATGTGGAGGCTGGATAGAGGGTCTGTTGTCTGTGTCCTGATGCTGGAGCATGAAGTCTATTGGGCGGGCAGTTATGGAGGAAGAAAGTTCAGTTGGGAAGAAGAACAAGCTGGAGCTCCTGAGGACAGAGAGAACCTGGATCAGTCTGCCACTGCCCGGACCCTGGCACTGTGGCTGTCCTTTAGGAGAAGCCTATGCCTTTGCATTATGGAGTGGATCACACAGCAGAAGGCAGGCAGGCCTGCCCAGGGAGGGCAGCTCCAGCATCAACAGGCAGGCTGCTGCCCTTGCTGTGGTGGGGAACTTGCAGCCAGGTGACAGTGTGGGGAGGCGGGGCTGGCCATTCTCCTGTACCGACCACCCCACCCCCACCCCCGGTGGAAACATACATGGCTACTGCTTCAGTTCCACCCACCACATCTCGACTGAAAACACGCCAAAGGGGATTCTGAGAAGCATAGTTCAGGGCAACGCATTACAGAGCCATTGCGCTTGTGCTCACTTAATGACAAGTACACGATTGTTTATAGCAGTGCTAGTTGTCATAGCCTCAACCTTGAAGTAAACTGTCATGCATCTGCAGGTTCGTAGGCAAATAAGCTGCTGGGGCATGTGATGGAGGTGACAGAGGTCCAGACTAATGCCACGTATGTCAGCGTAGGTGGGTCTTACACACACTGAGCAAGAGAAAGCAGACAAAAAATAAGAGCTGGGATTGCATTTACAGGGATTCCAAAAAACAAAAAAGGCAAAACTAATGTATAATATTAGAAATCAGTATAATATTAGGTTGTTGGGAAAGTCATGACATATTTTTGCATAGAAAAACATGGCATGACTTTTCTGACAGTAGTTACTCCTGAAAGGGCTACTGGCTTGGAGGGGTTTGGGGACGCATCTGACGCACAGACACGTTCTTTCTGCTGATTGACCTAGGTGCTCAGGCATGCTCGCTTGGGGAAACACTGAGTTGTCTAGTAGTGACTTCTGCACTTTTCTGTACTAGCATTGTACTTCAGTACAAAGTTTAGATAGATTAAAGTTTAGCAAGGTGTTTAGTGGCGTGGGCAGGCTGGGTTGGAAGGGAGTAACCGAATAGAGCTAGTTGACCCAGTGAGGAGGGGATGGGGGAAGCAGGGCGGTAGGTACTGGAAGAGGCAGGATAGTTGAGTGGGAAAAGGACAGACTTGCCAAGGGTCATTGTGACCTTGCCTTGGGCTGTCCCTTTCCTCTGCTGGCCATACAGTGTCATTGTGAGGGCTAGGACTGTGTGCACTGGGGCTCTTGCCTCTAACACACATCAGCTGAGTCACCAATGGGACCAGTCTAGGAGACTGTGATTCTGTAGTTCTGGGGTCAGCCCATCCTCTTTTTGAGTTCCCTAACCACCCTGATGCAGTCCACAGGAAGAACAACCCCCTGGACATTGGGGGTGCCCAATATAATAGACATGTAATAGTCATGAAAGGTAGAGGGAAAAGAGAAGAATGGGGGAGGGGGGAGGCAAAATGGTGCTAAAAAATTTTACCTTTGGGACTGGATAGTGGTGTAACAGTAAGACTTGACTCTCTGCAAAACTGAACCACACAGAAAGGTTCCAGGGTCACATTCAGAGAACTTTCTGAGCACACTGGGCAGGCATGTGCCATGATCTGGGTGAAGCTGGAAGTCGATTGTGGCATCAAGGCCCTGTTGGGGATGCTGTCTCTCTCTGTCTTTTTCTTGGTGTGTATCTGTCTGCTGGCCCATTACTATCTCTCTCATTCAATAAGTAAATAAATTTAAAAAATTTTTACCTTTATCCCATCACTCTGTGAGTGCTTTAACCCTGACCAGCACAACCTCGTCCTAAACTTTGTTTTATGACATCTTAATTCCCTCTTCTATGATTTTTGTTTTAGACATTGGTTAATGGATTGGAATCGTTCTTTTCTTGAAAGTAAACTATTTGAAAGTGCCTTAGGCTCTGCCTTCGTTGAATTTGGGTGGGATTGGATAATCTTCCATTTGTCCTGGGACGGACTGCGTATTCTCTGACACCCTGAACAATGACCTGAAAGCACTGTTGGCTGGAAGTATTGATATTTTTAATGCCTAGGAGATCAGGATTTAGTGTGTTCATAAGTTTCTTTCAAAACGAAATCTCCCAAGTTAAAGTAGTGTTGCATTTCGACAAACTCAGAATATGCATAGGAACAATAGGGAATATTATGTGCCGCTCTCACATCTGACAGGTGCTCATTCAATTCTAAAACCCCAGGTTGCCTTCTATCATAGTATTTGCCCCTGAACTGGATCTGCTGGTCTCTTCCTCTAGCTCCTGGTTGATCTCTGGACTAATGTCTTTTTGGTGTTAATGAGGAGTGAATGATCCCCAAACTCTGGAAGCAAGGGTTTGACCCTCAGGCATGCAGGGAGAGGGAGAGAGAGAAGCAGAGCTACATTGCTCAGGGAAGTAGGAAAACAACCAAGATAGTGTTCTGTTACAGAAATCAAAGAAAAATGCATGTTGAGGAATTAGCAAATGCCACAAAGAAGTCAGTGAGAACAAGGATTTTTTTTCCTTTGAAGTTTTGCGGGCCAGCCAGTGTTGCAGTGGTTAAGGTGTCTGGAGCCCACATGGCCAACTGCAATGGTTCAAGTCCCAGGTTTGGTGGTCTAAGAAACATGCCAGGTGTATGCACATATGCCCAAAATCCCAAAAGGAGGGAGAATGGAAAAGGGATTGTGATGTGACCATGCCCCACAGGAGTTGCTTTCTCACTCTCTCTCTCTCTCTGTCTCACTCTGGTGAGTGCAAATAAAAAAGTTTGAACTTTTTCAGTCATTACCAGCTTTACAAATGTGACACGAAGTCAAGATCTCAAGGGGGGGTGGGAGGGGGTTATGAGAAGAGGAAATGAGAGAAGCAACCCCCCCACCCCCCACTCCATACACACACACACACACACACACACACACACACACACACAGAAGTGAGGTCACGAAAGGAAGATTTGGAAGTGGCTGAGCAGAATGCAGAACCAAGGACAGCGTCCTCACTAGAGAGAACTGTGTGTCTTTCTGAAGGAGGTCGGAGGCCCCTTCAGTGTCTGCCTTTGGTCCTCTGGATCACGTGTGCCGGTGGTGGCTGAGACGAGTGCTTTCCCGTCTTGGCGACTTTGTGATCAGCACATCTATTGAGAAGCCGCGTGAACTGAGCCTGTGCTCGGTCCTTTTCTTTGAGTGATTTAGTTTCTTTTAACTGTATCCTCCCTTCCCCACAGGAAACATGGTGGAGTGGTGCTTACCTCAAGATATTGACCTCGAAGGTGTTGAGTTCAAGTCTATGGCCAGTGGGTCCCATAAAATTCAGTCCGATTTCATGTAAGTACTTCTGCGCCAAAGCTGTCCTTGTGTCATCTGCCCATCCCATCCCCTCACTTGTCCCATAAGGGCTCTTATCAGGGGGTATTCAGTGGTGTGCACATGTGCCTTGGAAATATATTAGTAAGCAAGGAAGTTCCTAGCTTTCATCAGATCATCCATGGGTTTCATGACCTAAGAAACTCAAGAATCCCATCCACGGAGTTCTCCTGTCATCTATGAAATTATTTGGACTTCACGAGGTTTGAATGAAAAAAAAAAGTGTAGTTTAAGCTCAGTGTAGGTTAACTTAAGACATCCATGAGCTAAAACTTGAAATTCTTGCTTTAGGTGAAGTCAGTTTTAGTCCTGAATCATTGAGGCAGTAAGAATTTCTGAGGAGGAACAATGGAAAGAACTTAAGGGCAATTCATTGGGCTGATAGCAAGAGTGAAAAAAGAAGGAAAATAACAGCTCTATTAGAAATATTAGACAGTTGCAACGTGAGGGAAAAATCAACATGGTTTATGTGAGAAAGCAACTAGTGCTAGTTGTAGAGGGGTCGGTCGAGACATGAGTCTTGGGGCTGATTCTCCAGCCACATCATTGGTCGTCCTGTGGGAGAGAAGGGATGTGACCATGGTCCTGGGTAACTGAGCAGGAAGCTCCCAAGGGTCCAAGTCCTACTCAGTGGGTAAACCTGGGCGAGTTCTGTGATCTCCTTGAGCCTTGGTCTTCTGGTGGATTGAGGGGCTTGGACTAATTATTCCCTGTAGTCCTAACGTTTGTTTTAAGACTGAGCTTTGTCACTTAGAGCCTTGGACACAGTTCATTCGTTTTGTTTGGGATTAGATCTAAAAGAAAAACTGAAACATACCTCTCTCTGATTTCAAGCCACCCTGCATATTTGCTGTATTTTAGCTATTTCCGAAAGGGGCCCTTCTTCGGCCTGGCCTGTTTTGCCAACATGCCTGTGGAAAGTGAGCTGGAACGCGGTGCACGGATGAAGTCTGTGGGCATCCTCTCTCCCTCCTACACCCTGCTCTACCGGTACATGCACTTCCTGGAGAACCAAGTTCGGTACGTGACCGCTGTACATAGGCTTTAAAACCGTGTACTTGGCATCATACTATATGTTTTGGTCTGTTCTGGCGCCAATCACAGAAAATACTTGAGTCTTTGGACCAACCAATGGTGTAACAGTTGCCTCACTGGCTTCCCACATAGTCAACTGTGGCTCAAATCCCAGATCTGGCAGCTTAAATTTATGCTGGACATATGTGTGTGCGTGCCCAAAATCATAAGAGGAAAATGGAGGAGAAGGGATTGCAGCATGGGTATCTCCTCGGAGGGTGATTTCTTGCTTTCGGTCTCTCTGTCTCTCTGTCTTTCTGGAGAGCACACATTCCCTACTGCAAAAAACTCTCTTAAAAAAAAAAGAAAGGAAGGAAGAAAGAAAGAAACAGAAATACCTGAGTCTGGGTAATTTAAGAGAATAAAAGTTTATTCAGCTCATGGTTTGGGAATCTGAGGTCCTAGGGCCATGTCTTAGGAGTGTTCCTTGGGGTGTGGGCCTGAGGTCATGACCCTGACACAACAAGAACAGGCGTCTC